ATGTATTTCTATTTTCAATTTTATACAAAAGCTCTAAAGGGATGCCGTTGGATCACATGGACCTCTAAGACATGTTAAGAGCTGTTACTTATGTTTATAAATATTGCGAGAAGAAAAAAATCCAATTCTCCTTCTAAGGAGTGGAACTGTCTCGAAAATACCCCTTGGATGTAGTGCCAGCAAAAAGGTTGCAACGTGCCCCTCTCAAATTCAGACAATTTGATTTGCCGTGTCTGGYTTGACGTGACAAGGGTTTTTATCAATAAACTATCTATCTATCGACGTGCTTTTTCAAAGTGCTTTGTCGAGACTGGTTTGACATGACACGTTATYGCCAAGGTGTCTCTGTGATTAACGTGTTTCGTACGACCAATGCTATTCAAAAATCGCACACAAAAATGTTAAAAAAAACTTATGCATGGAGATTTTATGATTTTTTTTTGCGTTTGACGACTTGCCAAAGTTGCCTGCAGAGCATACGTAGACTCGCGCGCGTATAAAGGCTGATTTACACGGTACGATTTGTCGCGCGCGACTTGTAGTATACGATTTTAAGCAGTGGTTCAAAATCCTACTACAAGTCGTAGGTTGCGTACGACTGTTGTAGACAAGTCGTAGGGGCATTTACACTGCGCGATTCAAGTCGTATACTACAAATCGCGCCGTGTAAATCAGTCTTAACACGAATATTACATGCGCGAGCGAACGTAGAACGTGCGACGACGTACGACGATTTCGAGGACCATCTCACAAGAACCCTTTTTCAATACGTTTGAGGACGATGAAATAAATGCCATGCAAATTTGTCGTATTTTTTTCTGATATTTCATTGTATTTTTTAGACACTGACGGTGACTATTTWATCTTCTTTCGGGGCTAAAAACAGTCTCAATACGAGTTGGTATTGCATGCTAGGATGGTGTGACTTAGGTTAACAGTAAAGCGATGAAGACATTTTTAAAATTTCTAAGGATATATTGAAGAGGAGGCGTTCATGGCGACACTTTAACTGATAAGATTAACGATTTTCAAGTGAAAGTAAGGGTACTCGGAAATGGTTGACGATCCCTTTAGTGTGGCCACGTATTCCCATGCGGTCCTCACATTTGAGCATGCACACAAAATAATGAAAATAGAAATAACGACATTCGTGCATCAAATTCGCGCCGCTTAATCAAAGTGATTTAAATTTTCCAAAAAGTAGGGGATTGAGAAGATAGAAGAGAGGGGGATTGAGAAGATAGAAGAGAATAAGAAAAAAAGTATAGTGAGACACTGCAGCCCCCTTGCTCTCCTTCGTCTCCGCTTTGCGTCGATGAGATTTTTTTATGGGTCTATACGAGTACATGTATATAAGAGTACTCGTATTATAGTGTATTCATATTTCGTGTGGAATAGCACGAATAGTAAGGACACCAATATTAGTATACCACTTTTGTAAACACACCAAAATACAAATGCACACCAAAAGTCGTAAAAGATAATGTATACAAAAGAAAGAAAAGGAAAACAGGCCTTTGTATAACACAATATATGGTACAGAAATATAGGAAAGTTACAGCGCTGAGAAAGAGGTAACACAAACAATTTCCAAGGAAATTTATGTAAAGTTGCGTTTTTTATTGTTTTATATTCTTTGTTTTGTTTTGCTGTTGTTGTTTTTGTTTGATTGATTGATTGGTTGACTGTTTAAAAACGAATGAATGAATAAATGAAAACAAAAAAAAAATGAACGAATATCTTTCATTATATGAAAAATACGACGACTTGAAAATGAGGTGACAAAACTTGGCAATGTTTCCACACACAAAAAAAAACTAGATCACGAGTCGAAATTCCTTGATCAATGGTGTTAATGCTGTGAGACGGCGTTGTCTCAAATCCGATACTTTGCTAACAGACACTCAGACACATCGCCTTCTGTGAGCCCAACTGTAAGAAGGTCAAGAGTGATGAACGTTTTCACGTACAAAAAAAAAGATACAAAACGGCAGGAGTGTTTTCATAACCCTTAAGTTTGTTTTGCAGATAAATATTTTTGTTTGGTATCGATAGCATGAATGATATTTAGACTTTGAAAGTAGACGCGAGAGAGAAGTATAAATATTTTACAAGCACAGAACCTAAAGGCAAGTTACCGKAACGGGATGTCATTTYATCGCCATATTGGCGACATACACAAGCACAAGCTAAAAAAAATACTAATAGATGACTGATTTTATCTTGGATCTGTGAAAAGGTTTTGACGTTAATGGGTGATTGGGTGAAGCGGTTGAAGYTTAAAGTTAAGCATCCKTATCATTCCTCCCTCCCCTCCCTCAGGGCAAAAAATTATGGCGCCTTCATAACTTTTTGCCAAAGATCACATTAAATTCAAGAAACTAAAGACTTTCATTCCTAAATAATCTAATCCTAAATTTAGTCATTGCTATTGATTTTATAGGTAATATAACTACCCTTTTGATTTCCACTCCTGTGACGGYATGTTAGCCAAGTGCATCATGGTACTGACAAAATCAAAGATGGCGGATATTTTATGAAAAAAAAAATAACGACTGGGAGGCTTATGATCAAAATTTCTACATTTTCCGMTGTWAAAATCCGAMCCCAAGCAGTCGMACGSCAAGCACTATGTCGTGTTTTKGCACTGATAAAGCAAAACTTCGATCTGCACCGAAATGCAATCGAAATACAAGACTACTTCCATGAAATCCGAGCAAACTCTTTCACGGAAATTCATATTTTAGTGGTAATAATCCAGCCGTGTTTGGTAGGTTTTCTAAGAGGAGCTTCGACAGTAAAAACGATGAAGGCTCACTCACAGACGATCAAACTTAAAATCTGACTGTTGTGCGCAATGAMASAACATGTGCGTCTGTACTTAAAATAAGGTGTGTCAAATAAACCCCATCAATGTCATTGAAAAGTTGTTATTATTAAAGCCAACYGATKTAAAAGTAARCAAAACAAAGCTTGCGGCACCGCAAAGGTAAATCCAGTCAAAATTATTCCTAATTCTAAGCTTACTAAACAATTCTTTASGAGACGCGTGGGTTGTAGCTTTGCCCACGTGCTTCGACCACAAAAGCGAACGGTATTCAGTTTGCCTTCGAGGTACTGTTTCAAGAATAATACGTTTCACAATACCTTTTGCAAAATGATTATATTAAAAATGCCTTCGAGGTTAGATCATATGTTTAGGTATTTCTTCGCAACCAGTAGCTCAAAGGTTTTTATTCAAATGATTGAAGTGTTTTAAGAGTTTTTCTTTTTTAAACACTTAACACTTGCACCTGCAAGAATTTGTGGTGTTTGGCTATGGTAAAAAATTGCATTACTAGACTATTTTATAGTCATACTAAACACATTTAAGGAAATGCTTTCGGAACTTTTTAGTTTCAATATTGATAAAATTCTTCTACGAAAAAGAAATCTTTGCTTTTCAGTGACTTGGACTTTGCCTTTAGTAGCTCCTGCACTGCTTTTATTTCTCGTCGCTCGTTCTATGGGCWATTTTGCATATTTTGGGGCATCGTAACAGCGCAAAACACAACAGCGGTATTTTCCATGCCTCGCATCGATGACCTCAGCTTCTCAACATAAAAATGTCGTTGCAGAAAATCAGACAAAAAGGTGTGACTTTTATTCCAAGACCTGTTATTTCAAACAGCGAATCTCACATGCATCCAGTTCATGGCGAATTAATCAGTCTTTTTTTCGCATTTAATTGAGGAGAAGTGAAATTCGACGTTCTGAACARGACCGAAACAATACAGGATTTGTACGTTTATCACACTGACATTGCAAGTTATTTTACCGCAGCAAAGATTGAAGGTTATATCCGAACATTGCACTTATACTTTCTTAGCATTTGAGCAAAGTCAAAAGTCCCATTGTGAGCACATAAAAAAAATAAAAAAAAAGTAACTCCTCGCTCACATCATTGGAATTTGCGTACTGTACTCATCCAAGCTAAAATGTACTAAGTAAAGGAACTGTATTGTTTTAAACTTGAATAAAAACACTCCCACTATTGTGTGGTTAAATTCAGCGGTTTGGTAAAGATGCCTGTATAGTAAGTCATTCTTGACAAGTACATATTGCTTTTTGGTTAGCTTAAGTTGTTATCAAAATTCCATTTTGATAAGTCATTGTTTTTTAGCATTTTTTAAACTGCTGTCATCTACTGTAATRTAATTTCAATAGACTAATGACAAAATACAACAAAGTTATTCAGCTTTCAGCTTTGYTGGTTTTCAGTAATAAAGATGCTAAATTTCGAGATTGATTTGCAATTTTCACACCGCAGKTTTGAWGGTTTGTCTGCTGTTTGTACAGCCAGCTTTTTATATTATGAACACAGTTTAACTTTATTGATATTCAATCTACAGATATGATCAAACAGCACTTGATAACCTTTTATTTTCTATAGACATTTAGTATACAAAAACAAATAAACTTCAGGAAAATGGTAGTMTGAGCAGAAAGTGTTTGCAGGGCTTATTAATATAACAAACAACAGCCACAGAAATTGGTCAAAGTATAGCTGTGAATTGTGTACACAGGGCAGGGWTGTCTGGCATTGTCTTATGAAGTATAATGAACTGTCAAGCAGTTATATATAATGTAATCTTGGGGGGAGACATTGGAAATCAAGTGTCTATAAAAYAATGTCTGGTTATAGCTTGTTTTTGCAGGTACRCTCAAGGTAGAACTTAATCCCCAGCTTGGGAATTGGAGGAAACACTTTTTTAATCCCCAAATCTGAAAACACAATCAGCGTTTTGAAGAATAATTTACATCGACTGATTCAAACCGGAAACCATTTATTAATATTTATTTTTGGTTGATATGTCTAGTGACCTTGGAACAGTTCTTTGCATTTTTGATAWATCTGTTAGCTTACAGAGTATATGAAATAGCCACATTTTCCGTGACATTTTYATTATGTTTACCATAATCCAAAAAAGCGTAAAATCAAAACAACTGCCAATATTCTATATTTTAATGCTTAGAGCATGATATTTGAAAGCATTTACCAGACCATACAATAACTATACTATAAGTTATTAACAGTCCAAGGCACTGTAGTATGGGGTGAGTGTGAGTTTGACCTTATCACAGTTTGCAGCTCGACCAAAGTCCTACAATCGTACCATAAACCAGAACTTTCTTCACCCATAAAAAAAAACAATAGATGTCTCATTCATAAAGTTACCTGACGATTGCAAGGGTCGCCAGGTGCAAACAAGTTTTTTTTATTAGAAGTACATTCTTGTACAGACAAAAATACACAATTTTTGTGCAATTTCTTTTTGTTTTATGGAAATGTTAATATTCTTGACGTTTTAATAAGAGGCTCACTGAAACAATACTCCAAAATGCAGATTGGCTCTGACATTTGCCCATTTACGTTATTATAAGACAAACATCTRAGCTCCCCGCGTCGCAAGCAAGTTTTCATTGATGAAACTTCAGMTGTTCAAATTGTCAAATATATTATTTAAAACCACACGTTAAACCATTTTCTCCTGCAAAGTAATATCCGCTAATCTTTTTGAAGGCTTAAAATACGTTTAGAGTGTTTCCAAAGCAAGCATTTGCACTAACATTGTCAACAATCGTAATCACGCGAACCTGATGCTACGCTGCATTGCTTAGCGCATGCAGAGCTCAGAGCGCTTTCTCAAAGTTTCTTGTTCATTCTTGATATAAACTCTTTACGTAACAGCTCGCAAACACTGACTCACAGTGGCACGTACATATCAAGACAAYTAATAACGCGAATATTCGCTTTATAATAAGCTTGTAAACAAATCCAAAACGAACACCAATTCAAAGGATTCAAAGCATGCTTACCTGGTTCGTTCCAAGCTATTGTCAGTTCAGCCAGATRTAAKTTAATAAGTCCTAAAAGCAAGACCTTAAGCCACATTATGAAGATCGAAACTTGAYGTTATAAGTCTGTTTTGAGGAACAGCTTCTTCGCTCTTGATCTATGAACTTACTAGAACCTCCTTGTAACTTGTCAAGTTGTATGCTTCRCTATTCGAGTCTAATTTGTCATTTCTGACGCCATTCCTATATGTTTTTTGTTTGAAAAGGCTGTTTAAGTTAACACTACATCCTTRCTATCAAATGTTTGATTCATAGAGTTGATTTTTGCGGCATAAAATTCGACTAAAAAGCGAAGCCAGATGCCACACACGACAAAAGCGAAAATTCGATTACAATGGGAAACACCGCTGAACAGTTCTTTAGAAATTACTACATCGATAACTAAAATCACGATATCACAAACTTTAAATATATAAGATCAGGGATAAATAAGTACAAATAGATAACGGCTATTCTCTTTATTATTTCAGTATTCTGATAAAATTATTGAACATGCATCGGGTACAGGTAGCCCACAAATACAGATCAAAAATCATCCGCCAACCGGCTTCCCGTCGTTCGATGGGAGGTACGAGCCGACCAGCCGTAACTAAAAGCCGCTGTTAAATTGACAGCAAGGAGCCTACAGCGAAATATTCCTTGCATGTTATTAAAACAATATTTGAGTATAATTTACTATTCACCCCATGCATTTGGCTCCGGCACAAGGGTGTAAAGTACGTTGACGCGCGCGTAGCGTGTGTGCTATGCGTGGAGTCAGCGAGGACGTTCCTTCATTRTGGCGTGATCCGGAGTTCAAAAACGTATTAGTATAGCACAAATAAGATGTTTAAGASAAAAAAGTCGTAATATTTTGATTTATTTATACTTTTTGCATGCTCCTGCAAAGAGGAGAGTGCAAAATGCAGCACAATACTCGGCAAACTGGCTATTTTTGAACTGAATTTATAAGGACAAATTTAAGTGAATTTATTCGCCTAATTAAAGCTACACCTGTAACAATTTTTTTGTACAGAGAGCATTTCTTGATTAACAGTGTACTGGTGAAGTCATACGGCGTATTGCACTTGCTCTAAGTCCCTGGCTCTAAGTCTTGAGATATCGTTTGGTAAACAAGAACAACTTTCGTGAGAACTGAACAGTTTTTCTCAAAGCCAATATCATCACTGCAATGCAATTTTCTGCAAATTGATTTCGAGTTATAATTGACCAATCACTAAAGATATCGAATCTTGATATCTAACAACGAGCAAAAGAGTAGTCTTTTTTCAACCTTGACTAAAATAATTTTGCATAAATTTTGCTAGATTTGATGACGATAGAAGTTTCTAATTTTGATGCTGAGCGCTTCGTTTTATCAACTTTCAAAATTTTTAATAGACGAAAAGCATCGACGTCCGCCATTTTCTAGGCACAAAGCCTGAATTTTACGACGCTTGTCGAAATTTTTTATGCCTACAAAAATCTAGCAGTTTTGTCATTTCTTAGACGAACGAGATACAAAATCTTATTTTGGGATTGTTTTATTGTGCATTAAAACAGATAAAAAATGCCAAAGGACTGCACAATACTGTACAAAATTCCGTTGCTGTTACCTGCCTAAAGCCACGCTCTGCACCATCAAAATCAAGCATCTATAGCTGCTGTTACTGACCAAATATCAACAATATATCGAGTACTAAGTTAATAAATTATTCTTTTTTTGTTCTAAAATACGCTTAATTGCTGCTGAAAGTTTATGTAAATATATGCAAAAAATATTAGCAACCGCACTTTCCCGAACTAAAAGTTGCATTTGAAGATTATTTAAGCCAGGACTTTCATCGCCAAGAGATTAAARCTGAGCTGTAAAGTCTGTGGTGTGAATGAGGTTTTTCCAGGCTCGGAACTTAGCGGTTTAACCCAATAAAAATCTAGTTTTTAGACAATTGAGTGTCAAGAACTTCCGATCAGGATGTGGATGCACAAAACATTATTAAGAACAGGATGTAAACGATTAACGGTGAAATGACAGCTATTAGAAGCTGAAATTACCACAAGCTGAATCATGGTTATGACTACATATCAGTGGTTCCGTCAGCTAACTTTAAGTGAAGTTTTCAGCTCAACTCATGAAAAATGAGCCGTACATTAAATCGATATTTTATAAATTGCGTATGAAACTGAGTTACTAAGGACAAAAATATTTTGTCTCYTGGGAATTTGTACTTTTTACTTACTAAGTTATGGATTCTTTCAAATGAATTAAAGTGTTAACCGATGCGGTTTCTCAGAGAAACTAGTAAGCAAAAGCAGGCACATAGTTAATAGCTATTAACTATGGCAGGCRACAGATTATAATCTTACCACCTTGAAAAWCTCCGGCGTCAAAAAGTCGTGAACTCCGCTAACTGTTTTACTAAACAAAYAAGAAGAAAATACAAACAAACAAACAAAGATTTTGCGCACAGGAAATGGCTGAAARTCTAATCCTGGGGTGAGCAGACTGGCTTATGGATAACCGGTCATGGAAATTAGACTGGATCCTTTTAATATGCAAGAAGTACATCCTTTTCTTTTGACTTCAAAATGAGAATTTTTTAAATATTAACACATGCATATGTTTATAACTAGTAAATCGAGCATTAGCTAAAAAGGATTGTTGACAATTTTTATGAAAAGTATTTTAATCCTATCCTAGCCTTATTCGGAGAGAGGGAGTAGAAATCTCTGCCGGATCATTCTTGGATCTATAGTCGGCAGAATTGGTAAACTCCCAAGAGGTCTAGGGCTGATCTATCTATTATACTACTATTGATACCGCACAYGGTTTAATTTATAGAAATGGCTCTTGGGAATATTATATTTTCAACTARAAGAAAAGGTCTATATCCAATCAAAACATTGCAAACAATGCTTTCTAGAATTTCCTTTGAAATAATGTTGTTCTAAAATTACATTTGCAACGCATGCATGRACTGTGCTTGCATAATCGCACACTGAATGCAACAGAYACATTTATCTCATTTGATTCCGTAGTTTTAAKMACYGAACAAGAGAATTCCACTTAAAAAAAAAACTTTATAAATATGTCCATCGTGAAGATAACAGAGACAGAGTATTTGAGAAGAGCTAGCTATGATCATCAATGATGTGTGAAAGARCCCGCGTTTATTGARATCCCGAGAGAACAGCCAGAATCAASTGAATCAGTTGTAGATATAAATATACAAGCTAATTCCCACTGCGTTTGACTTAATCCTGTTATTAGATATCATTGTTCTAAAACTAGATAGTCCTGATCTATAGGGATGGTTTTCATTCAAATYAGAACGATTTCGTTCAAAAATCTTGCAGGTACCTTACATCTCTGTAAGTTATTCCYCGCATTCTTCAGATTCCAAACCCAAAATGGGGTTTATTGCTCTTTGATCTTGGGAAACTACTGCGAACAGAATTCACACGTTATATATTCAGTAGACTCACGTCTTGCTCTGTACTATACAACTGCTAATTTTGTTTGTTCTGAATGCACGACCTGGTGTTTCGATCATGCAGTCATGTTTTATTTCAGTGTATGTATTTTGACGGCGTTTTGGGCTCCCTGGGTGGTTGGAATTGTTGCAGTGAATAAGACTCTACCACGAGGGCTGAACTGAAGAGCAAATTTTCAGTAATCTTTTATTGAATAGGTCAATAGTAATCAACCCATAATAAACCACTCGAATATTATTGTACGAAGTTTAGCCGGGTAGTTATTTTAAGCTTTCTGCAGCGATGCAAAAAAKCATCGGAAAATGACATTTTGTAAACAGCCGCAGGAGAGATGTCAACCTTCGGCTACATAGTGGCTTCACTATACTTCATTGATTTTCAATTGCTCAGTTGTTTTAGACATAGAATAGACTTTCTTAAGCTTGTAAAATCTGTGAAAGTACTTATAAAAGTCTTTSTGTGAAACAAAAATAATATTGTTTATCAATTCCCTGCGAATTTGCTGTGAAGTAGGGATTATAAGCCACACAGCTATCATCAGCATATTTTTACCATATCAACATGTCATGAAACAAAACATCTTCCATGCTTCTTCAAAAAGCTATTTAGAAAAGAAGTGTGCAGTTTTTAGCATATAGGGTTAAATAATTCCGAATTTGTGTTTATGAGAATATGTGATTGCAAACGCAAAATTTCGAAAAGTTGTWGCATGATCTTCAATGCATATGGCTGCTTGTAGACAAAGAAGACAAATAAGCTTGAGCAAACACGATTCTACAAACCTCGCATTAAGTAAATGGTCTTGTTGCTGTGAATACTTTGGTAATTAATTTTGTTGTATCCGCGGTCATTGTTTGTTTAAAGAATTCAAAACAATTCAGTTAGTAAAAATGTATCATCAGTCATACCAACTCAAATGCCAATTTGCAAAAATATCCCGCGAGAACTTGACTATGTACTTGATTTTTACAGTTTGTGAGTCCTCTATTAATTATGTTTGTGCCTATAAATTAGAAACAGGCAAGCCAAGAACTTTATTAAACGATCATGTACACACAATGTTTTTTATAATAAAAATTATAGCTTATAATTGTCATTTTTTGTCGCGCAAATGCGTGCTCAAAATTCATCAGTCTATTCCTTCCTTCAGCGAGGGCAGGAGCACCTTGTTTTCGCCGCTGTTGATAGATGAAATGGAACTGAGGGCAGAAACTTCTACTAAACAAACCATCCAGCTTACACAGTATGTACATGGTATGTAAGTCCACTTTTTGACACCTAGAGAAATTGATAGCAATATAAAGTTCAAAGTACTGAAAGTGTTTCGTTTGGTCTTAACCCAAAAAATACATTTCGTTCCTTTTTGTCTTATTTCACGTTTTTAGCTATGAAAATCTATTAAAAACCTGCCACACATGTAGCAAGTGAAGAGGTTCGCTGTTATAATATGCCACTTGATTCTGAACAGGTATTTTGATCCGTTAGTATAATATAAAAAGGGTGGAAAAATACTTATTGCGCGCGCTTTTTTCAAAGGCTTCCAACATCACATTTTTTCATTCCGACTAGAATAGATCTTTGACAAGAAACCGCCAAWTTTTTTTTTGGTYACGTCTACAACGTGGTTTTCAAAAGACAATATCCATTGAAGGGTTGTATCGTTATTCTTTTAGATGAAGCACCGGTTGAAAGCCACACAATGCAGCTTCTCTTGTCTTCTGCAAGCTCCAGTTCACATAACCGTGTCATTGGCTCCACGTAAAACTCGACAACCAAATCAAGCCCCCGAGGGACTGCAGTAGGTCTCAAAGGTCAAACCTATAAGTTATATGATTGGCTTAGATGACAATATTATGCAAATGTTTTATGATCACAACTCTWGCTTCAACCTCTCGAGACACTGTCGTTGTGTTCCACTCTCGCGAAGTTGGAAGAGAACATAGCGGCTTGCGCACGTCTGAGGAATCCGCGGATTGAATACCATCGTGATTAATCTCAAAATGGCAAGAWTACTAGTTCTCTTCATGTGCTTGGCAGTCCTTCATGTCRCAGTAGCGCAAGGTATGGGACAGTTCTGTTGTGATATTATTAGCATGTGCCGTACCCAGATTGTAGACACTTCGTCTGGGCCTCGTGCGATTACAGCTCTTCGTTTTTAAGCTAAAATTCTGGCCCTTAAAATACAACTGCAAGTTAGTGAAAGCACAGAAACGACGCTTTTTGATCCGTGACACGAATGCTGTTATAAACTTTTACGTATCATTTAGAACTGCTTGCCTCGTCACGCGAGGCCTCGTCTCTGATGATATCCGATTTTAATGCTGCCGAGGTCATTTTGGATTTCTGTTACAATTAACTTTACAATCTCGATTCAGAAAGCGCAATTTCTAATTGATAAAATTAAAGTTAAGCCATACTGTTTACAGCATATTTACTCAGTTCGCGAGAGTGTAATTAATTCACAGTTAATATAATCTAATTTAATGTACAACCGGGCAGCGCGTCACATTCAAGTGCTTCGCACGACATTTGACTCGTTTGCGTTTTACACGCTCAAGATGTTCGAACCTTCTGGAGACATTAAATCAACGAACTACGTTATATATTGCAGACGCCCTTCGAAATTTATTCATTTCTCTCGCGAGAAATAACCAATCTCTTTTGATACCTCGATAATTTATCATAGATTTCACGATAAATCAAAATTATKAGTCTGTGAGCAGACAGGGTTCAAGGGAGGGGCTCCGCTGCCATACATGCTCGAGAATATACGCAAATATGAGGTCGGTTGCGGTGAATTGATTAGCCTCGCTTGACTCATGCTGGATTGTTTTATTGTTAATTTGTCAAACTTAACYGAAGGCAATGTWCTATTTCTGACATCGTGATCTATCAAACCAGCTAAGATAGAGATCTTTAAGAGTCTATYTAGAGTTATTGGCTTGTAGATAATTTCAGTTTTAATTGCGGCATGTCTTAAAAGGCGCAGCTAAGTAATTATTGAACTAGTCAAAGAGAAAACTTTTGTAGTATTCCCTTAGTCAGGAAATACCTCACAAAGGCCTGGTTTCCATGAAGGGATTAACGTTTAAGTCTGCTACAAAGACTTTCTATTTTMATTTACAAAATTATACAAATTAACTATAAGAAAGGTAMAAAAATRCATAAAATTGACTTAAAATAACTGACCACGTTTTGAGTTCCAAATTGACGACGCGCACTGCTGACTTCTGGAGAAAGAAGTTTTTACTCTGGACTATAAATTTGCGAKGGCATTGTGAATTTCAACCTAAGCCATTTGTAATATTTTGGGGGTTAAGAATCCAACCGAAAATGTCATTAAAGGTATTTACTTACGATAAAGGAAAAGTTCGGAATCGCTGGGAGATTTGATAAAATAAGYATCAAGACGGAATATATTTTATGGTTTCTGCACAGATGAAGCGGGACGAAACGCTAAACTTTCATATCATTTCGTTTCTGTGTCTGTGTACTCAGTGGCGAACACCAATAAAATATATCTAATCTTCATGTAGTTTTACTCATTTTCATTGCTCTGTTTTTCTTTATGATTTGCAAAAAAACCCCTGCGATTTGCAAGACTGAAATTCTTGTTTTGTTATCGGTTTTGTAATGCTCCAGTTACGACGCAGTTCTGCGAGGATCTAGCTGAATCGTGCGCGTTTGTTCATTTCAAAACATTCCGTGCCTTTATGTAAGATGTAAATAAACAATATATACACGAAAGCACGTCTACAAGCCTATCACATAAATCCACTYAAGGCATTCAATATACAGTGCACGAAATCTAGACCCAAAATCAAGTGACGATCGCGTCCTATCTTTAACCTTTGATTAAAGTACATTATCTGTAATATCTAACCATGTTGAAATATCGATCTCTTATTGCATCAATTTTATTCTCCTCAATCAATCATTAACCATATCGGCTTTCCAGCTTTTAAATCAAATTGTTTCCACTCGTTTCTAGCAATCTCACGTCCCTTCGCCGCAGGTGGGAGGCCATATGGGGGTTCAATTAGGCGAGGATATCAATGCGATTARGCTCTCATTCTCTTGGATATTCKGCAATGGATCACTGAACAAACAAAGTGACTTAAGTCTCATTATACTTACAAATCCCTAATTTGTCTCTTTTCAATCTTGCATTTGATTATTGACTTTATTGTTCACATGTGCATGGTTGGGTGGATCAGATACCACAGKGATCCCAAGGARTATTTTTGTATACCACAGGAAGCCCGTTAATATCATTGTCACGGTTTTAGTCTAGGTTATCTTTCAAGATCTGCTTGGTACAGTAAATGCAGTAATTACAKAAACACTTTCACTAAAAAAAACGTTTTTTTAATTCAGCTATAGCTATCATCAATATTATTATTATTAGTTATTGTTGCGATGTAATTGTTGTGGTGATCCCATTATCACCAATAGGTAAATATTTTATTTTTCTTTCAGATAATAAAACTGACCCTTCCAAAGGTAGGTTTATAATGCTTCATCTGGTACAAAGTCGTCAACTGTAGCAGCAACGTCATTTAGTCAATGATTCAATTAGAGTTTTTGTGTTTCTCAGTATCGAATGCGTGATGCAAATTGCCAGTTTTGAATGTTAACCGTATTGCCAGCTTTCATGTCCGAGCAGGAGGCTGCAATTGTGGGTTTGAGTTTTAAAATTGCAAAAATCKCTAAGTTACCTATATCATCTTGAAGAGCACATCAAAATTGACAATATCCCCAAGTTTTGTTTAGTTCAGATGACTATCTAAGAACTTGAAGCTGTTTAAAAATGTTAACATTTACAAAACAATGTATAGATTGTGGGGACCCCACAATTTATAGATGTACACTTGAATAAGAGTGTTTTTGATTTAGATGAAAGCTGGTCATCTTTTTTTGAATGAAGGGGGCCGATACAGTTATGAGCAGAAAAAGAGTTAGTGCATGGCAGAAACATTTCGACACTTTCTTTCTTTCTTTTCCAAGTAGTGCAAACGCGGAACAAAATATCGATCAAAATGTGAAGTCAAATAAGACATAAAAGAAAACAATGCAATTAGAGCGTACTTTGTTGTATTATTAGTGCAATATCTATTTCTCTAATYCCACTTTGCTTCTTTAGGTATGAGTGTTACTTGCACCAGTGAGTACATTGAAGCTGTTATAGATACRAGTGTCCATAAAGATCTCCAGCCTGACCGCCTAACCTTGGAAGACAAGAGCTGCACGCTTACCAAAACTGAAGGCACTTTGGTTTACTTCAGGACGGCTCTTGACGGCTGCGGCACGAAGCACAACACAACAGATGATGACATTGTTTACTATAATTCCATCTTTGGCGAGACCAATGCCGGCTCTAACAGCGCCAAGATTTCACGTAAACATCAAGCGGAATACCCTTTCAAGTGCACGTTCCCTCGCTCGAAAATCTTGTCCGTTGTGAACTTCTCTCCAAGAAGAAAGGTCATTTACAGCAGAACAGGTTAATATGCTTTACCCTGAAAGAAATGTCCTATAATGATAATAATAGTGATGGTGATGATGATGATAATGATGATAATTATAGTGATAGTGATGGCGATAGGGATATTGATGATGATGATGATAGTTATAGTTATAGTGATGATAATGATGATAGTGATAGTTATGGTGATGGTGATAGTGATGGCGATAGTGTTAGTGTTGATTATCGTGATTATGATGATGATAGTGATAGCCGATAGTGAAAGTGATGATGATGACGATCATGATGATAGTGATAGTGATGGCGATAGTGTTAGTGTTGATTATCGTGATTATGATGATGATAGTGATTGTGATGATATATGGTGATGCTAATGATGGCGATAGTGATGATTATCATGATTATGATGATGATGACGGTAGTGGTAGTGATTGTGATTATAATTGAATAGTAATCATTATACCGTCTTCCTTGCAGCGGACTATGGAAATTTCACTTTCGAAATGGATCTCTATAAGAGTGACAAGTATGAGGAGGCCTACGAGGATTACCCYATCGATGTTGCATTGAACAGCTGGCTCTATGTGCAGACCAGTGTCAGCTCCAACGACTCCAAACTAGCTCTCTTCAATGAAAAATGYTGGGCTACTCCATCAAGCGATTCGGGTGACAAGGAACAATTCGTTTTCATCGACAAAGGGTATATTTAAATTATAACGTTTTAATGCAAATAATGCCCCCCCCCCCCCCCCCCCCCCCCCCCTCTCGTACGTCATTACTTTTATTTTGGCGAAATGCATCATGGTGCTGACGAAGGAAARCAAGATTGCGCCTTTTTAAAAGGGCGACATAATGCTCCCATATAAGCAATAAGTGGGATAAAATAGAGCATGACTGAATGGACATATTCGCAGTCCTCAATGCCTTATCAACCTCTTTCCCAGGCGGAAAAATGCCACAAGTGAAGGGATAAGGGCCTGGGAACGGGGTTGTGCATTTATATCAAAGCGAGACGGTGAACATGCAATGCTAGAAATCGTTTGTCAAACCTATAAACAATTATTCACAGGTATCTATCATCACAAGTGGGCAGTCATCTCACTTTGATCGAATGGCATGGTTACATTTCAAGATGGCGCAGGGGAACTTTTAAATGTTTTTTTTTAATGATCGTTATAGACAGTTTTTTTTATTGTATGTTGTTTTTTTTTCTTTTAATGTACCGTTTAAAAACGCTACATTTGCTAAAAACAACATACAATAAAAAAAACTGTCTATAACGATCATCCCTGTTTTTTTTTTAGCTGTCAGAAGGAAAAGAAAGAAGACATGGAATACGACTTCAAGAAGAATAAACCCGARCAGCAGTTTCAATTGAAAGCTTTCCGTTTCTTGACTGGCTCAGGCAACACAGTGTACCTTCATTGCCGAGTTGAAGTTTGCCGAGAGGGAGACAAAGATTCCGGTTGTTCCAAGGGCTGCGAGGGAGTGGACCGACGTCGTAGACGATCTCTCGTTACCGATGCTTCCAGTGAGGTTCTAACCGTTGGAGTTGTGAAGGTCGTCAAAGGATCCAACGCACAATCCGGTATGTATTGTAGTTAACGTTAAAGTGAACCAATCTCGTAACCGGGGATTATCTGGTATTTTTTTCAAAATACCGGGCAAGGAAATCCCTGTCTTCGGTCGATCACGTGATACTCAGCTCAATTGATGTGCGTTTTATGGAATATATGCATCAGGAATCGAATTGAATCACTGAACTATAACTCCCAAAGAAATTTTAATCTTAATTTTAAAAAAGGCTCTAAGTTAATGTCAAGTTAATATGATACGATATAATGGTAGATTAGTTGACTTAGCAACTACGAAATGTGTTCTATGGCACAACATAGTGATTCGGGTCTCACTTTTCAAGATGGCGGACGCATTGTTCTCCGAAACTCCTGATGCCTGTATAACAAACAATAGCTTTTTTCTCTATATAGTTGGGGTGCCTGTCCTTTTACTTTCATGTTTTAACCCATGTTCAAAATAACGAGTTATCATTGGTTTATTCCACAGCTTCAGCAGGAAACGCTTCTTCTCTGACGACCATCAGCATTGTCGCTGGAATCCTAGGCGTGCTTGTAGTAGCACTGGTAGCYGTTCTAGCAGTTGTTTACAAGAGACGCCAGGCAGTTCCAGTTAACGCGACATTCAAGAAGGTCGCTGGAAACGACGGCGACCARCTCATGGCTTGATAACTCGCCATCCTATAACCTTTCATATTTAGTGACATTACCTACTGGAAGTCTTAATTTAGGGCTATTTAGTATTAGCTTAGCAGAACTCTAAAGAACCCATCCAAAAGCGAGCCTTTTGCAGTTGTGTTGATAATTCACAAGGCATATCAAGGCTGAAGGATGGATTATTAGAGGACAAAATTGCAAAATGGCACTTTTAGATATGTATCTCTTGAGCATAATATTAGGATTTTTAAACTTATAAAGTGTTTTTTCTAAYGTTTTAGTAACATTTTGAACTTTATTAGAGTTTACTTTTGTAGAATAAATCKTTGTGTACAGCGGCAAACCAAATCAAAAGAAACTCGCGCATCTAGTTGRAGTTTGATGTGCTTTGTTGCCTGCACACAAATGAAACGTCGTGATAATTACCATATTTTTTTAGCTTTCTTAGTAATTTGAACTTGTAACTTTTGTACGAAAACATTCTGAATAAAAGATTTTTTTTTGTTTGGATAACATGGTTTGAGGATTTTGACAGCAAAGGAAATCCATCGGATCGGTTTCGTGAAATCGAAAACGGATTTCCGCGATGCTCTGATCAAAACAAGCGCGATGTAGGTAAGGGTTCCAATGAGTGAACTCCAATATAATTTTGATATTAACCGGCTCTTTAATTGCTGACAACATTAGCAATTCTCCATACGCGCATTATTGATGACCTCCAATCAAATGTCGAAGGAAACTGAAGGTACAAGAACAAAGCTGTTCATTTGGACTCGTCTCTCTGAYGATTTGACTYATGATTTGAGCACTTTGGACGCTAAGTCCCTGGTCCTTAAAAAACCACGTGCATCCATGCACCATCGTTTCTTTCGTTCTTCAAAAATGTTCTTTTGTTGAAAGGTGCTTTCTGATTGGTTCAAAATCAAAGATGGTGAGTTTCCTGTGTGAGAAAATCGCGCAAAGGTCCTTGGATGCATGTAGATCTTTAAAACTCAAAAATACAACATATAGCTGTTTGAATTTCTTTATTTTATATTCAACAACCTATAGTAGTTTTAATCGTTTTTTATTACTAATGCAGACAAACAAAACATTGAAACAAATTCAAACTCACTCCAGGCCTTTCCGATCCGCCAAAGAGAGACTGGATTTGAGAGAGATATTTCTCGATARATTTCAAGGTTTGATTTTTTACGAACGAAATATTGATTAGGCGGCGATATGCTTGTCTTGTAGTTAACTAGCAAATGAGGTTAAGTCCCCCTACCTCCTTTGCTTATCCGGAGAAAGGCAAGTACAGGCAGCTACGCCATGTTTTACAGCAAAGCATGATGGGGGATGTCGATCCACGAACTTTTATTTTTTCACCATAAAGTCCCAAAAATCCGGTTTTTACTTTTTTATTTGCAAAAATGCAAATAATTGTGTCGGCTTTTGTTTTTAAAGAAAGCACAAAAGCGGCTTTTGGGGACTTTTGAATTATAATATGGACCCCAACTCCCATTATAATTTGTTGAGCTAAATGGCGTCGCTGCACTTTGCTTATTATACTTTTTCGGTTTCAATGTTTCGTGTTTATCTGATCTAAACCGGAAGACGTCACATTTTAAATAATTTTCATCAGCCGTAAAAGTAATTCATATATTAGTCGACAGTGTATTGTATATAAATATCACCCTAGCTAGCAATCTTATCGCCGTTAAATAACTGGAAAACACTCTAGCTGGYCTGTCCACACGAAAACAACGAAATATGTCTTTTGAACACAGCTTTTTCAATTACTTTCACGAATACACTGGAAAAAATCGCGCGCTTTAAAGGTTGTAAATTTGATGTAAATATGATGTAAGTGTCCAAAATTCTGTAAATTTAATGGAAATCATTTACATCAAATTTACAGAATTTTGGACACTTACACCATATTTACATTAAATTTACAACCTTTAAAGCGAGCGATTTTTTCCAGTGATAATGACGTTGCATCAGCCATTTTTTTAAAAAAAGCTAAGGACTTGGACAGTGCTTCAAGTAAATATCCATCAAAAATATTTTTGCTTCTAAAGCGTTTACGTGTGGACGAAGCCTGGACACTAGATGTACGTCAGCCATGTGGGATACGGCTAAGAAACATAACAGAGCATGCGTAATGAAGAGCTATTTTTTCATTCAAGCATGCCCGATTGTGACGGTTTGATCCGATTAGATTTGTTAGTTGTCGCATGAAAAGCAATTGTTTTCCTACCCGAGTTTTTTTTTTGTACGATTTCTACTATAGCTGTGGTTTTATATATATATATTGGTATTAGCGACATCTGCATTAGTATTATGTTTAGTGATTGTTGTTATTTGTATAGGTGTTGGAAGAAGTTTAAGGGAACTGATATTAATATTAGTGAAAGCATTAGTAGTTAATTCTTAGAGGTGTTGGTATTAGTAAATGGTGGTAAACGTAGTGGTATTGGGCTAGATGTGAGTGTATTATATATTATTGGTAGTAATATTGGTGTTGGTATAGGTGTTATTATTAGTAAATGGTGGTAGTAAGTTCGTAGTGGTATTGGGGTTTATGTGAATGTATTATATTTTATTGGTAGTAATATTGGTGTTGATATAGGTGTTGGTATTAGTAAATGGTGGTAGTAAAAGTTCTTAGTGGAATTGGAGTTGATGCGAGTGTATTATGTTTCACTGGTATTAATATTGGTGTTGGTATACGTATTGGTATTAGGATATGTTGGTGGTTAGGTGTATTGAGGTAGATGTGAGTGTATTATGTTACCAATGGTAAATTATTGGTATAGTTAATTGCATTAGAGCAAGCTTTGACAGGAAGTGATTGGAAAGCATTTTCATAGTCTTCAGAAGAATCACAAGTTGGGACATTCACTTTTTCACTCCTGCATGTAATATCACCAATTGCACCTATCCAACCCTTTACAGAGTTTATAATAACATTCTGTTTAAAAAAGGCTGTATGTAGATAGATTTATACACAAAATACCAAATACAAATACACATGAGAATGAAACTCGAGCAGGAAACTTAGAATTGCTTTCCATCGCATAAATACATCAGTGATTAGATACATAAAGCATTTCAATAAATAAATTGAGTTCCATTCAAATTCTCTAATGCATGTGCTTAATCTAGCAATTATGCAGTTATTGGACAAAATACCCTAGCAAACGTTGCCATAGCAGCGTTTCTAGCACCAAGTTAAATATTGTCAGCAGTGATTTCGCGAGTTAAAATTCATAAAAGTTTGTGTAAAACCTAGAGTTGCTTCACTATATAAAGTAAAAATACTTGATAAATAAACTACTAGGATGATTATATGTTGATATATATAAAATGTTTCCACTGGAATTTACAAACTCCTTGTTCAGTCCGCGTCCACCTGGACCGATTCCGAGTTTTCCATAAAGTTCAATTTTCAATTTTTCATAAATTTGCCATTTTCTTTTTTTTTGAATGCTATAAATTCAGTTTACAATGATTTCTATATATTAWTAACAAAAAGATTATTAAATCAATTCAAGGCTTATAGATTTTCTCTGTTAATTAAATGCTATTAAATAATGTTGACGATTCGCCGTCTTTTAGCGTGATTCTGATTGGCTGCAGTGCGTGGCTCATTATTATAGTTTATACTTTAGCACCAAGGCAAAATGTCCCTTTAAAAATCTATCTTATATTTTATATGGCAGTAATTTACTAATCATAATTATCTATCTAGCATTAAAATGAACCCGTTGGGCATCTACGATTTGGCTACCATTAATAAATATTATTTTATGATTATTGCTATTCATGTGATGTCCAGTCTCTCAATCTACACGCGATTTAATTCTACACAGGAAGCACACAGGTCGTTTAGAAAGTAAACCCAGGTTTTTTTTCCACTCGCGTTGTGATCCCAAAATGTTTCCCGCCATGTTTAAGTTAGCACACTCGCGTTGACCATATTTCAATGCCAAGGATGAACAAGAACATCAAGTCAATCTTTCCGCCATTTTTTTTAAAGCACGCTAGGTATTTCAGTACTGAAAGAGCTCTAAAGTGTAAACTGTCGAGTGTGAGAAAATGTCAAACTAAATTTCTTCGGGATACCTTCGGCATCACTCGGAAACTTTTCTTGGCACCGAGTAAAACCGACTACTTGTCCGCATCAGTTCGGTGCTACTTCGGTATCTCTCGGAAATATTTCGTGSTGAACCCGAGTAAAATCACAACACATCTGCATCACTTCGGTTTTGCTTCGCAGTCTCACGAATAATATTTCGTCGAACTCGAGCAAAATCGACCACTGATCCGYATCACTTCGGCGGTACTTCGGAGAAAACGGCCTTACATCGACTTTAGTTCGGACATCTGAAATCGTGTCGGAATGGCTTTGGTGGAACTCGGGATATCTCGTATAATCTGTGAGTGCGAGGATGGAATCGACTGTACGTAGTGTGAATATTGAGAATATAGACTGACAGAGCACACATGAAATGTGACTCTAAAAGTGACCTACCAGAGCCGACTACCAACCTTGGGCGTRCGACGTCTTTTCATTCWTTCGCTCATTCATTTAAAYTCATTCAATCTGTCTATTGTTACATTGCTTCGTCTTCCATTTTGGTTACAAAACCAAGTCATGGTGACAAAGTCCATTTTGCAACTTGAATGCTTGATTTCGTTCAATTCTTCATTCTATAACAAACATTTCCCCAGAGACGGGGGAGTTMGGGGCTGTGTTATACAAAGTCCCCGTCGGGATCTTCATAGTTGTGCACACCCCGGCGATGGTCAGGCGGCATGATACTCGGCAACGGCGACATGCGTTGACTTCCACCGTGCTGCATTGAAGACCGTGGGGAGGGGGCTGGAGATTTCTTTGGCGAGCCCCCTAGAGGTGACGAAGAGGGGAGGGGTGGATCGCACATTGATGACGTCGAGAATAGTTTATACCATCCCATACATAAGCTACTAAGGTCAAGGTCATCGAGGAGGATCTGGACTACTCCCATGAACACCTTGCGATCCATGCGTCCATAGTCACCCCATACAATCACCTGTCAATCAATATAACGTACTTTAATACGGCAGGCATATTGAATTATAACCGAATTACATGTAATCAGAGAGACAAGACAAGATCCAGGGGCTGTCTACATGGCATGTGGACTATCACTAGTTGGTACAGTCTATGGCCGCACTATCTTATGCAAAAAGGCCTTTCAGCCCTGTACAAGAGATATCTTCTCTGACAATTATATTTCTCAAAACATCTATAAATTACCTGCAAAGTTTTGCCTCGAATATCGACTTTAAAATCTAAACACTGCTGATACAATGGCTCAAGCGTCCGTCGCGCTGTCCTCGTCTTTTTCTTAGCAATGCAGCGTTTTCCTTCCATMACATAAACCTTGATGTAGGGAGCTGAATACAAAGGAAAGYATGGTTAGTGTTAAAAGAGAATAGACTCTGCTAGTAATATGGACGTTATTTTTGATTATGMAGAAATCATGAGATGCCCAGAARCAAAAACCAAACAATTTATATATAGAATRGAAATTTCGCTGAGAATTTTAGCGCATCAAAATTTCAATTATTGTTTATGATCGCCTAACAAAAGACTTTTAAATTTCATCTGAAACCCAAAACTAATCAGTCTCCCATTTAATTGTCCTCTTGTTTAACTAATTTTCGTTTTTATTATTATTATTATTATTTTGCCAAACATTGGAGTCACAAAACTACTTCTAACATTCCCAACAAATCTCAGGAACTCCGGGTTGTATTCCAAGTGACTCATGTAAATCATTCAAATGTGTTTTTTGATTTTTTTTTTTTTTTAATTCAAATGTTTTTGACATAATATCGGATCTCGAAGCATTATAAAAGCCGTACAGTCTTGTTTAGTGCCCCCTGCACATCCCATAATTTCTTGATGATTCGATACTATTAGCGACAGAATTCAAGATGTCAGCCATTGGTTATATGATAASTACCTGGTAGCATTTTTGTATTAGGTTTTGGTAAAAGTCCTTTAGCTCGTATCACTTCCACTTCTAAAGCTCCTTTACGATATGACAGACCAAGCTGGATGTCGCCCATTGATGGAGACGCTGTAAATGGTAAACATACAATCGATCATAAATTTTACCATAACTTGTAGAATTCTCGATCGCTTTTTTATGGTCTGTACGCTTATCGACAATGAAAATGACGCCAGAAAATGATCAAAACTTGGCAGTGAAACCACTCTCTATGCTCGTGGTTCCACTTGAGTTTTGATCATTTTCTGACGTCATTTTCATTGTCGATAAGCGTACAGAATAGCGATTTCGATTTGTTAAATCGACCATAAAATAGATTCAATCTATTGAGACCTGTGTTGATCAGGACTTTTGTCAGCGGTCTTTTGGCGCCGCGGAGACTTTTRGGTAAATTATACAAATTAGTCAATATGATACCCACCCAAAACCTGTCGTCCAACCATCTGCGAAGGTCCAAGCCCATCAATAAAGTCGCCTAAATGCCCTTCGTTACCTAGCTTGAGACTGGGTGGCACCCATGGACTACAAAAATACAAAAAAATGTGATATTGTTAGATTTGCATCGGTGCTACTATACCACGTTCTTGGAGCGCACGGTCATTTTTAGCCGTGTCTGTCCCAGTTTTAATAGCTGTTTCTCGTCTTAGTAAAGTCAACTCTCGCTATTACGGACACCCTCGCTATTACGGACACCCTTGGGACCGTAATTTAGTGTCCGCAGTAGCGAGAGTTACTCTCAGTCATTTCTCTGTATTTTTCGCCGGGGATTCACCGGCATTTTACTGTCCGCAATATCGAGGTGTCCGTTGTAGAGGGGTGACCGTAAGGCGAGAGTTGACTGTAGTAGTCTAATAAGCAAACAAAGCGACTGAATGTTTATGGAACGTCCTCCCGAAAACGTGAGTGATATTTTTGCGGTCTGAGTTTTCAATAAACATTATCTCACTGCCCTGCCCCAACCCCATGATAGTAGATCGAAATAAAGTAATCAAATCGTTTGCTAAGTAGCTGTTTATGGGAGTTTCCCCGCAGACGATAGTGATATTCATACAGTTTGCGGATTTTTCAGCAAAAGTTGTCGCAGTCAGTCCCAACCCTATGCGACTAAATTCAAAAGGATCGTCCCTTGCAGAGGCTCGATTTTTCCACTCTTCGCTACTTGCTTTTCTTGTCGCCGTAAACAGCGCTTGGCGCCAGAAAAAACAAGTAGCGAAGGGTGGAAAAATCGAACTTCTTGGACCAGAGTATTATTCTCTTTGACAAATCCAAACTGAGTTTCCCTAAAGCTACTAGAGTTTGATCATTAAAAAGCGTTTTCAATGCATCTTCGTGTGTTTCTACAGTCGCAAAACACTCAAAAAGGAACCCGATAGTGAAAATTGTCTATTTTTGTAAGTTACATTATAGGTTTGTGAACAAATGAGCGGAGGTAGTTTGAGTTAATGTTCAGTTCCAGAATTAAAAAAAATGCCGTAATGCTTCCATATTTTAACCTTTTAAGCAAGAATCATCAACGTAATAGCAGTAATGAAAGGAAAGGAACAAAATTGGTCATAAATCAACTGCCGCAGTTGGAAAATGAGAGGATAATGGGAAAGTAAAAGTAACATGTTTATACACTGAGAATCACAAAGGCGTGACCTGGCGGAGTTATTTTAGGAATTTGTACTTGAAAAGCGACTTTACAAGCAAGCCCAATGAAAAACATAAATGAAAMGATTTTGTGTTTATTCTGAACAATGAAATTATACAGTTTATTACCATTTAAAGTGCATTTTTAGTGATAAAATATAGCGTTATTATTTGTTATTTTTTTCATATATAATTTGCACGTGAAAACGCACTTAGATGACGGGTTATCGTTTCTTATTGGTCGATGAACAGCAATCATTCACAAAATATTTCTAGGCGCTGACGGTTTTTTGATTCGCGCAATAAACTATTAACGGAGAAAAACAGCATGAAGTTTCATAAGAACAATAACAAAAATAACATAACAAAAAATAAAAAAATGACTACAACAATCTTTTCAGTTTTTGTTATTTCACGCATGTSCTCTTAGACAAACGAATGTAAACACATCTGCGACTAAAACTATATTGTCTACACGACAAGACAATAGCCGACTTGCGAATTACGCATCAATAGTCACATACAAAGGAATCAAGACGAGGCGCCGTGCTTTTTTGTGAAAAATCTATTGTCTTTAGCACGGCGCCTCGTCTTGATTCCTTTGTATGTGACTATTGATGCGTAATTCGCAAGTCGGCTATTAAAAATACACAACACTACAAAACTAATAACATGACATCCCATCTAGGTAGACCTATTCGAATTTGACAATAAAATTGTCTAAATAGAAGAAATTGGTGAATAATTCAGAGGGAAACTGAAAAAATAATTTGGAGAAAGAAATTAAAATGCAACGAAGATTTTCAAGAGGTTTGAGAAAAAAGTGCAATATAAGTAGATGAAAACATRGAACGTGAAGAAAAGAAAAATTGAGAATGAGAATTGATGACACAAATACAGATCAAAGGCAAAACAAATACATGTTTAGAATCAAAATGAGCAGCTGTATCGATCCGCGAAAAGAATTCATAGACACAAAAATACAACGAGGACTTCTATATTGGTGTTAGGAGGGAAATCACAATTAGTAAGCCAATCATAAACGAGGATCTTATTAAGTTGTACCAGTAGAGTAGAAATAGAAAATATCAAAAACATGAAGAGTATGTTAAAAATGCTAATATCGGCCTTGGTAAAAGCTCAACAATTTWACTAGTAAGAAGTAAAGATGTTTGGCGACAACGAATAATATAGCAATAATTTAGAAAATGAGAATTCTGTTCCTCGGAATTTAGGAAGAAAGAATTTAGGCGGCAAGAAATTGTACATTATTAATCAGTCTTAACTAAAAATATCTTCTTTCATATGTAAGATGAAAAAGAAATTAATCAACAAAATATAATGCRTAAGTATTCCATTATGCAACGGTGAAAGATGTTTCTCGCATTAAACATTGAAGATATTAATTTTCAATGCGAAATTARAAAAKAAGACAAAAAGCTAAAATTTGAGCGCGTCAGAACAGTCACTCGCCATGGAACCTCATTTATAGATAGCTCAACGTCTGAGATATAATTAGAATAATTTTAGAATGGGAAGTTTAATAAAAAATGCCGGAAGGTAGCTCAATTTWAGGGAGTCGAATTCGTCTACTAGGTAAAACCACTTATGTTCAGTTTTTCATKTTTGAGACAATACTGCTAATAAAGTAAAAATTTAGTAAAGCGTCAAGAATTCCCTAGTAAAAACTGCGACAAAGTTTATATTAATCGTGACTGTAATTGCCCAGTAACTCACGGTTTATTGTAATGCAAAATACAAAGAAAAGAAAAAAGACAAAAACAAAAAAAAAAATCTCATAGCTTTGAAGTTCTCGCCTTCATAAAATGAAGTTTTTGGTCCACGAAGACGGAGTTATTTAAAAATGAATATTTTTTTGAAAACCGCGCGCATTTTGTCCTAAAGCATTGCAGCGAATACACCTACATCATGTGGAAGCCATCTTTGTTGTTACTATGTAAAATCTATTTAATGAAAATTACGAAGTGGACAATAAATCGGCCATACTAATTCAGTGTTTGAGGATGGATAAACAAAGATAATTTGAAATGAAAAATTAGAAACACCAGAAAAAAACAGCAGAAAATTATAAATATCAACTCAATCTTATGGAAAAGCTATAAAAGTAAATTGTAAAYGAAATGGAATATAAAAAGAATTCCGGTACAGTTCAAGACGGAAAAGCGAACGTTGGAAACAGAAAGTCKTAAGGCAAAAATATATCGATTTGAAAATAGAAATTATATGAAAGTTGAAAATATTTCTAAACACATTAAATGCAAAAAAGTTTCAGGTATAATTGATTATTTGAAACCGTACGTGTAATATCTGATTATTGTTTAATCTAAGTTTTATTCGTCTACACAAAAAAGCAAGCTGCTATTGAATAGCATCAAAGGCCCTGGCGATCGGAGAAGGATCGCAGCTTTGGAATGTCGTAATAACAGCTTTATGAATACATAATGATATCAATGCAATATGAATGTGCCTAGAACGCTATAYGCTTCAAATTCGAACACATAGAGAGACAGTTCTAAATATCACACAGGTTTTTATATTAAAACTATCAAAACATAAAGTCTTTTCTAATTAGTGCAACTGACATAAAAAAATCAAATTTAAAACCTCAACGGAAATTGCRAAATTTTGAAAAAATCCCTTCTGCGCGAAGGGATTTTTTGCTATTCMCCGAAACTGAAGTAAATCCTTAGATGAATTTCACAAAACGCATGCGGGTACTATATTCTGCATTCCGTGATCATCTTGGTCACTGACGGCGGGTTTAAATTTCWCTTCTTATTTCCGTTTGCCCAGCTTGTCATGTTTCAGACATTTGTAATTAATCAAAATTTTCTCGATGACACTACAGATATCGATCAAAGTCATACAATTCGGTGTAAAAARGGCTAAAAATATACTAAAATACCATCAAACGAGCTAATATTGGAATAAGTATAACACGAAAAGAAGAAAGATGAAATTAATATGAAAGCTAATGCTTAATATTAAAAAAATATTATCATTGTTTACTATTGTTCAAAGAAAAATTTTTTTCTTTCTTTTCAAGCACAGTTGTGTGAAAATTGTGAAATTATCTGGCCAATGGAAACGCCTTCGGATCAATAACAAACGGTCTATGAGAGCCATCCGAGTTGTCGGAYATCACTGTAAATTAATCAAACCAGGACATGCTTCACATACAATCCCTAACTCTAGACTACAACTGATACGAATTGTAAGCTCTAACTAGAGTAAGATCTAAAAGAACAGGAGATAAAAATGCGTTTTGAGATTCTTTGACTAAAATTAAATTAATAATATTCTTTATCTTCCATTCCCAAAAGATACATCGATGAATATCAAATAAGAAAAGTTSAAATAGTATCTAAGTTCAGTGCACAATTTTTCAACTTCTGGCTGTTAAATTTTACTAACTGAATTCTGATCGTTTGAATTACTCTTGAAATTCGCCCTTAACTACATACATAATTACATAGCAAAATATACATATTACCTTTGCAGTAAAAATCGTTGATCAGCGTTTTTAGTTTTCGCCAGTAAAGTATAATACACTTCAACGACAGAAACAGCTCGATTYGAGCCCGAAGCCATGACAAGTAACTTTTTTAGACAACGGCAAACCGAGAGAGATGTGAGCCTATGGCCTGTTCTACTGCTCTGTTGGACTAAAAGAAATAAGCAGTATGCAAAATAAYCTAGTCTATAATGTCAGTCATTTTTTTGCGTGCTAAGTGCAGCTGGGAAACGGCCGGTTTACATGTACTCGATTTCAATTTGGTGTTCAGTGCTTCCTGATCTARTTTTGGAAGATCTCTCACGCAAATAAACTCAGTTTAACATCCGGAACCTTTAAAGTCGTGTATTTTCTA